AAACCGCCAGGCATACACGACAGTGACTCATGCGTGAATTTGTTTACAATGAAGCCGATGTTGACTGTATTCTCTCCTTTCACACCGGTCGTATTCTGAAAGAGTAAAACGACAGCCGGTGTGCGTGGGTGGGTGGGTGAAGCGGTTAAACAGCCCAACTGCACATGAACCGATCCTTCACTCCACAAGGTCAAATTCTGTTTTCAGATAATTAGGGCGTGCACAAGACTACACAGCGTTTCGTCTACAACAACACTAGACTGGCAAATTGCTTCATACGATTACGGCGTGAGCCAATTGGCGTGTTTCGCCGGTTCCTGGCATGTATGAAATTGCGATCTACTAGGCATCCGGATTATTTAAGTGCGTTGGTGTTCGCATAGAGTGAGGTGAACTACAAGAGGCATTACAGGCGATATAGACTACCGAACACCTGTCTGACTTTTCTCGACACTTTAAATTAGCTTCATGTACTCCCCAGCTTGCGTCGGCCAGTACATTACCACCACTGGGGTTTATAAGCAAACGCTGCAGTAGCCGACTTAGTTGCCTTTGTCTTTGTCTGTTATGTTTTTCTATCTACAATGCTAGTTGCTATTCGGCTGCTAGCGGGGGTCGAGACGGAGCCCCACATGACACCAGGACGGGTGAGTCACGCAAACGATCAGTGGGCGCCGATCTACTATTGTTATAAACTCGTCCCACCTAGTCCCACTTGGTCCGTGCAATTGGTATCGCCTATGAATCGAGATACTATAGTTACGTAATTGTAATACTACTACTACTCATGTGAACGACCACTGTTTGCATTTTTCTACGGTGTCGATGCATGTTTCAGTCACAATGTCACCAACAGGGAGCTCAGAGGTGTTTGCCTATGTTTTCCTCAATAAAACGGAACTGAACTGAAGTCACCGCTAGTGCAGGAGTTCAGCAACCCACCAGAGATTTTGTGAGAGGATAGGCCAGCCAGCGTAACAATCGGAGTGCAAACCACGATGCTCCCGCTGAAGACACGAGCTCCGTGGCCAACAGGTTTCCCGGACTACAGACGAAAACGTCAACGTTGTGCGACCAGGTCCGGATACGCCGGCGCAGGGCCCCTGCGAAGAGCAGCTGAAGACACTTTGTGTTGGCGTAGTGTTGAATGCGTTCCAGAAAGTAGGCATAATAAGGGTTGAAGTGGGCCGGTGATGGTGGGTAGGAGAGTAAGCGGTCGAGATCAGAAAAATCCGCTATAG